CTCTACTACTACAGGTTGGAGGTTTTTGTGAATGAAAGAGGCCAAGTTGGACGCCCGAAGTCCATGATAATGGCACCTTTTATTGTTAAAACCCTGTGGGATCACCAAATATTAATGAGCTCACGCGTAGAAATCTCTCCAGTTAGTGGAATGCACCACAGTCATATAAACGCCTCGGCCACCAGGTCCTATTCAAAACTACCGGGAGGGGGGTTTCGTGATCTACGCGGCACCAGACTAATATCAAAACTATGGGCAAATTCACCCCTCTGTATAGGAAATTTACGCACGGCTGAAGAATTTCAGCCGTAAAATTTTATGAAGCCATTTTTCGATTGTAAAAAAAATCTTCTCTTTAGTTAATCTGGCCCATAGGAATTTGAAATAATGCGGTTGCAACATTTGAAAAGAAGACTCAGCAGTACCGAAGAGCAAAAAGGTGAACATATTTGGAAACACATGTAAACAATTACAGGCAATGTAAGTGCGTTGCGCTTTTCAAATATTGTCCAATCGCATTGTATAAGAGCTACGCAGCTCGTGCAGAATTTCCGAAGCAACACAATACTCGGTAATCACTGAACCGGCTTGTGTAAAGATCAAGGTTCTGCATGCCAATGGAAGCAGCGTGCAAAGAGCGAACAGTGCACCTCCAAAAGGTTGCAGCGCGTTGGCCAATCAAAATGAGCGAAATCTGTCGAGCCAGTGCGCGTTTGGAAATGGCACAGGGAAAGGGTCGACAGATTTTGCACATTGTGGTTGTCCAACTCTTTGTAAACTCTTGGAGGCGCACTACTGTGAAGCGCCCGTTTCCCCATGAGTTGAAATAGCTGCCATATAAGATTAGAATCCAGCTTGCTCCCACAGACTGTAGCCAAGGCTTGGATGTTCTTTCAATCTTTGTTTTATTGAAGTTCGGATTTTGAAAAAAAAAAAATTAAGAATAGTGGTGGCATACTGCTATAGGAAATGAAGTAAATGAGCTTGAGCAGGTTTCTTCTTGAACAAATAGCCCTTTTTGGAAATCTCGAAAATGTTGGTAGGGCACCATTATTTTCTGAGGCTTCTGTGTATGAACTGTATGAACCAAGTACTGTACGAACGCTCAGAATCATTCCTGGGAGAGAGCTTCAAGGAAACTGATACATTGGGGCAGTGCAGGATGTCCTTGAAAAGAACTAAACATTACAACATTTGCCAAACTTTGCAAAACAGCTCCCCGACGGCGTTATCATGACCCCGACCTCGACATACCATGACAGCGCATTATTGCGTGCTACGGGAAAATTCGCGATGAGAAATACTTCATGTAGTCTGTGAAGCACCGGTGCAGTGGCGCGACATTAATAGTGTTCGTTGAGGGGACCGCTCATCATTTTCCCGCTTACAAAAAGGTAGCATTGCGTGGCTTGTCTGGTGCTTTTAAGAAATAACTACATGATTGGTTGTACTCAATGTTCAGTCCTGATGACTGCGTGTTATGGGCCTGTTCGCTATAAAATTGTTCAATACCGACAGGTTTTTTACGGAAGCGTAGAAGGGCCAATTACACATCTTTTTTTCGAGTTAATATATCTCCACGGCGAGTTACTGCAACGTCACGGAGGCGAATCGCTCCAAGGAAATGGCTAGTCGCCGCGGGGAGATGGTTAGTCGCCGCGGCAAGATAAAATAGGTTTTCCTGCTCGAATTCACCATCTTCGCATTAGCGACAGTTTCATTCGAATTAGCACGAAATAGACTGACGATCTAGATCACCAGCCAAAGAGCAAAATTGATCATTCAATTTCATTCTAAGAGTATGCTATTGAACAATCTTGTTATTCAAAAAGCGAAGAGTCCGCATTCCATTTGCAAAAACACACAAAAAAGCCATGTATATGTTTTGGCGTTCAATTTCGTGAATCGGCAAGCATTTGTGAGATTCGTGCCATGTTATTCATTAAATGTTGTATCTTCAATTTTTTTCTTCGTGAATTATTTATACAAAATATTTCCTGAAAGGAAATGTTTGGTTCACATTTAGAGATCTCAATAAAAATGCTGTCGAAGGAAGAGCTTGTCAGCACAAACATCGAAACATTCACGATGGCAGCAGGTCATAGGAGTTACATGAAAATCTCCAATATAGACCGCGGTCATTTAATTAAGTCCAAGATTACTTTAAAACTGGCAGATAACCTTAAGAGTGCCACCATAGACCTGGAGGAGAAACTCCTCCAGGTCTATGGTTCCACAGCAAGACTTACGGGGGCATGGAACAGACAGAGTTCCGCATCCGACATAGTACCAAGAAGTGTAAATCTGATCAAGAACACAGGTCTTGAGTCTTAGAATTCTTATCCACCTGATTTAGGCCTACAAATACATGTAGCTATACTAGAATGGTGCAGGCGTGATATCACAGGCAAGAGGTGCATAACAAATAAGAGTGAAAGATAGGTGGCAAACAAACAGTGCACATTAAGACAATTGGTAATGATAACAAAGAACTTAGAGTGCTGATAAAAAGACTTCTCGTGATAATCTAGAGGAGTCATGAGCCAACAGGTGGCCTCACCCCCCCTGACTGGTAGGATGACTTCCTGGAAACTAGTTGTGGAAGGTGAAAGCACCGCAGTTGCCGAGAGCTGATTTCACATTCAAATGGATCGTAAAGAGTATTTGTGTGCGTCCATAGATGCATCTAGGAAACTGAACTTCAACTGATGGCTATGTCTTTGTATAAATGGTGCTGGTTGAATAACAGTGAAAAAATTGAGAGTAAAAAAGTTTTGAGTTTTCCATTAAAATACTTAGACCGTTCTTTTGTCACGGCTGAGAGATTTTGTTCAACTTTAATCAGGAGAGTTCGAACCAAATGGGCACAGTCTGGCATATTCCTCCATGGTGTGGCTGAGTACATTCAATATGAAAGACAAAAAATGGCAGAGGGAGACTCAGATTTTTTAAAAAATCTTTTCAATTTTGATTTGTTTGCCGTTGCATAACTATCGAATTTCATGCATAACTTGCATTTTCTTACAGAAGTTGCCGTTTCCCGGCTCCCCCATATTCTCTGAACCTTCCCTGTCCACATTCTTTCCTCAAACGCAGGGTATGTAAAAAAAATCGAGCGCCGGAGGTCGCAGATAAATCGAAAGTTTATATGCCCCGGTTTGACATCGATATGGAAGACGAAATGTATTGGCTTGGAGAGGTAATTCTTCGCCGACAAATGAAATTACCACAACTATTGAGAATTATTTGCTTTCTAAGGATATTGATTACTACTCACATATGTGAATTACTTTTCTCCCGCCCACTCGTTGAACGCCTTAGTCTAATATTTAGCGAAGAATTTAGACTTTTTTCTGTCACACATTTCTATTTACCAATTGGTTGTTTTATTTACCTTACAGGTTTCCATCTCTTAGAAAAACAAAAACTCGGTTTTCAAATGTGATACAAAAACCAAATATCAAAACAATGTGCATTACTCAAAAGTTATATCCATTACGGTGCGATTGCCGGTACTATACCAAAGCAAACTTCGAGCCTGTTGCCATTTCGCTAAAACGATTTCCTTGAAATTATAGCCTTGGACTATTTTTACACAAAATCTAAAATCTAAGGCCGCAACAATAATCCCATGAGCTTCATACCACTCTAATTAACATTGCTGAATTTCATCCGGCAAAGGTCAGACTTTACGATATTTCACCAAAATCATTGTCAAACTGAACATCTCGTTGAGAAATATTACATTTTGCAAATCAAATCTTGTCTAGAAAATCGTCTTGTTTACAGATTCGGATCATTAATTTGATAGTCACTTATTAACCATACAGATTGATTTGACGTTATATTAACCAAAGAACTCAATGCCTGTGAATTAAAAACGTAATTTTTAATATTAAATAGGGCTTTATTAAAAGAATTCTACCCTACAAAATGGCATGACAATACATTAGAGAACTGCGACAAGATTCCTAATCTTTCAAAATACAAAATGCCCTTCAGCAAGTTCACAGTTACTTTGAGAAGGTAAGACATAGCTCTTATTTAGAGATACCGGACATAACAATTTTATTGGAAGTAGAAGTCAAAACTAATAACAAATCATAGATACATTCATATACAACCGGTTACATTACAAGTTAACTCAATTGCGTGTTTCAATTACTACTTATATCCCCGAACTAACTTTTTCCTTCACCACACAAGAAGTTGAAAACAAAGCATGAACCTAGTATTGAGCGAAAAAAACGTATTTTAAATTTTTCTCATACGCATGTTCTCTCAATTTTAAGCTAACACCAAATTAATTGTATTGGTTAATATCTTTCAGGTTCTCTTGGAGAAAACCAAAATTGGTTTTCAATCGTAAAACCAAACAAATCGAAACATTGGGCATCTCGAACATCCATAAATGTGCGATTATTCCACCCAAGCCAAGTTTGCGTCTGTTGACTATTGATGTTTTTGGTGATTTATCCGAAATTCTAACCTCATACATTATAACTGTATGTTCCATGAATCAACAAAAGGAATACAGTTGTGGAATCCTCCCTAAGCTGTATTTTCCACGACAAAAAATCCACTGCAATTAACATCCTGGTTTGTGCCTGAATAATAAATATGAACAAACGTCATACGTCACAATGTTTTACCTAAACCAATGTAAAATTGTATTCTCCCAATTATAAATGTAGCACCACAAATCAAATTGTCATCCAATAATTTAAAATTTTTCTTGAATTTGAAGCACAAATTGCGTGAACACCCATGACAAACCACCCAGACTGACAAGAAATATCGTCTTAACAAAATAATTCAGTGCCTGCAAATTTAGGAAGTAATTTTTAACAATGCACTAATCTGAAAATGCCCTGCAACGAAATAATGCCGATATATTACAACACTATGACAAAAAATTCCCAATTATTGAAAGCAAGGTGTCGTTCCGAATTACCATTTCAGACAAAATTTAAGCAATTTTAAAAAAAGAATTCTCGCAAATATCCCTTGGGTGGATATATGGAGGTTGGGGTTCTTTTAACAGCCTCCTTGAGCAAGGATGTCACGTACCTGAGTTTTCACCGAAGTCATGTGTAATCGTAGCATGATGTTAGAACGGAAGCGAACGGAAATCACTTCTTGTACAAGCACGAACTGGTGAATTTAAACTTTCTGTTCTCAATTTTCCTTTATATCCGACTTTGCTCTGTGAAGTGCCATGAAAACAAAACGGAATACGGTAATGCCGTCTGTCGCAAAAGTTAAAATGCAGATGATAAGTATAATTTATTTAATGATAATAAACGATATAAATTTGAAGTTGTTCAAGGCCAGTAATCCTGTTCGTGACATCCTCATCATATACATTTTCCACTATTAATTCCAAAGACCTGGTTTATAAATTTGTTTTGCACGAAAGTGCATTTCCTACGTTAATCAGTAAAGTCACATACGACATTCAAAAAGGATTCAACACAACGCTTAGCATTTTCTCTAACTATACATGTGTCCTCGATCGTTCAAGAAAATTATGTAACATAACTTATTATAGTCAGAAAGTTATCTTATGAATCCAATTCATAAACTTGTGTAATAGTTAGTCCCGTTTGAAATCGTTACATCTCCATCTTTATTTATTAAATAATACGAATGTCTGTTACTTCAAGTACTGTATTTATATTTTTACTAACTTCAAACATAGGCCTACTTTCAAAAATCTACTGGTACTCTGTACGTATAAGAAACAACGAAACTCACAAGGTATAGCCTTGTAAGCTAAGATTAGACACTCCACCATAATACGAAATTATAATATTCTGAAACAACACTAATCTATCCTCAGCATACAAGACAAATAAATGCAACCCTAAAAAATAACTTTGAAACATTTTTTATTAAAAGGATGAGGAGATATAGCGCGGTATCATTTTAGCGCCAGTATTACTTTTTCTTGACAAATTTGTTCCTTCTAGATTTGCACTCCATTCTGGTCAATTTGAGGTTTCGCTGTCTTGTATGTTTCCCCTGTGGATTGTAAACTGAAAGACAACGACGAATACAGTTTGGAAGTTATGCAAGTCCTTCAGTTGAAATAAATGATTCTTTAGTGCCACAGGCCGGTTTTTCTATTTTATGTTTTTATTTCTGTGTCTTTGATATTACCAATCTTGAGCAGTACTTTCCTCCCGAGGAAGTATTTAGGGAGGTTTCCTCCACGCACCTGTAATACGAGCTATATGTGACGCTACTCATGCGAGCAATGTGGGCAAAGTGGTTCCTTGGGCTGCCCTGAATGTTTGTCATCATCGCCTCGATTTTGGTGAAACACGTGACCATTGTGGCATCTCATCCACCTTCCTACTTCAAATGACATGCCAGGTGAGGCGAGTAGAGTGCACCTTTGGACATCAGGGCTTCCGACCCCAAAGACGTGTCTTCTAATGATGAGGCAACGACGTCGTACTCTCTCAACTAAGTCACTGACAGCCTTGAGGACATCTTGGTAACGAGGACAGTGACGGATAGGTTGCTGGCATCTTGGGCACGAAACAGAACGAATCTGAAAGTAACCACCCTCGAGGTCATTCTTGATCGCTACAAACATCTTATCCAGGGAACGCATCTCACAAAGATGTTTACAGTCTGGGAGATAAATGTACACATCCCTTAGCCGACTTCTTCCTCTGGGCAAACTGGTTCGGACGCTCTTTTTGTCGCAAACATTGCAGAACGGAGGACATGGATCACCGCAGACGCCAATGCACGGATGGCTGCATTGGAGTAGTTGGTCACAGGGTCGAACGCATGCATTCGTCTTCAGCTGATGATGAGTAAAATTGTGTTTACAAGGGGGAGATGCCGCTAAAGGTTGACTTGTACCCTGCATCAGGTCTTCATTGCATTTCGTACAGTCTGGAGAACAGACACTTCCGCAAACACTTTTACAGTAATGACCACAGATGAGCTGCTTGTTGCACACCTTAGCACATGGTTTATGCAGAGTACCTTGATTACAGTCATGACAGGTACCAGCACATTTGTGACCACACACAAGTTCATCCCTGCACGGTTCCCTGCACGGCATTTTGGCGGCTCGTTCTGCCTTCCAGCACGGCATGCGTCTGGTGCTGTGACCGCATGCCAGAGCCTTCGTGCTGTCAACTTCGCACCTTGCACGTGGTGTCTGCTTTCCTTGCTGTGTGGATCCATGGGGAACAACTGGGATAAACAGGCCTGCACAGGGCTCACTGCATTTGTTAGGACACTTGTGGCCGCAAGGCAGAGTTTTCTCACAACTGCGGTGACACATAAAAGTACTGACATCCGTTTCGCACCTCACATTTACACTGTGATTGCAGTGTGGAAGTTTCTTCTGCACTCTTTCCTGACACTTTGTCCAAATGTTTGAAGGATATCTTCGGTGATCCATTTGGGGTCCCGGACAGGGTTCGCCACACTTGTTGGGACACAGGTGCCCACAAGCTAATTTTTTACGACATTTCTCCCTACAAAATTCGGAAAAGGCTTTGGCAGATCTCGATGGAGACATCAGTGCTACTTCATTTTTCTCTAGTGGACATGGCTCACTGCATATTTTTGGACATCGATGCCCACATACCAATATCTTTTCGCATGGTTTTGAACACTTTTTAAAGATTTCGAAGTCAGTTAGACCAATAGCAGACAACTCACAAGGTTTCCCGCAGATGTTAGGGCACTGATGTCCACACTTAAGTATCTTCTCACATCTCTGGCTGCATTCTGATCCGCTGGGATCTTCAAAGCATCGCATTTGAGCTTGGTGACCGCAGATAGGAAGAGTTTTAGTAATTTGGGTCCGGCAAAGAATATTTTCAGGGCGTTCACCGCACCTCATGAGGACTTGGTGGTGACACTTGGATAAGGTTCTCGTTACTCGAACTTGACAGAATACCTCGCAGGACTGACCGCATGGCTTTGTGCAGTGATGTTCACATGACTGTGTGTTCTTGCATGGCATAGGGCACTTCTGATGCGGACAAATATCACCACATTTTCGCCCACAAAGATGGCCACAATCGGTGAAAGTTTTATCGCAAGGCTTGATACAGGTGACATCATCCAACCTATGGCAGAATATCTGGATCACGTGACCACAACCAGGCATCGTCTTCTGAACCACATTTGTGCACGGGCTGCACTGCTCATGGCAGAGAAGTGGGCAAGGATGCTCTCCTCGATCGCACTTCATTGTGCATGGTTTGCAACATTTGTATTCGGCATGATTGGAGTGGTCTGGATGGCAGAGGGAAGCGCACACGTGACCGCAAGGCAGTCTGTACTCGCACGGTCCGTCACAACCTCCACACGGCACCTTTGTTTTGAAGTCATCAGCTGTAGCAACCGGTGTGATTTTGTCGGGATGATTTTGGCAGACCAGTGGCAATGAAAAGCCGATTTGGTTCTCATCCTCTAGTGTGGCTACAATCTTCGCCCAGATCTCTGCCTTCTTCAAGATGCTCGCATTACCGATGCAGTAGAAACCCATGCGAGCCCTAGACAATGCAACGCAGACGCGGTTTGAAGTGCGCAGGAACCCGATGGATCCTTCCTCGTTGCTTCGTACCAGAGACAACAGAATGATATCATTTTCCTCTCCCTGGAAGTTGTCTACTACGCAGACTCGAACACCTTCAAAGGTTGCTTTGTCCATAAGACGTCTGAAGCAGAAGAGTTGCCCCGTGTAAGTGGTTAGGATTGTTATCTGTGAGTGTTGGTAACCTTGACGCAACAGGTATTTGCACAATTCAACAAGGACTTCAGCTTCGTACTGATTCGATTTGCTTCTGTCGTCATCATCTTCGTCTTCCAGGCATCGATGATCAATGAAGAACATGTTATGTTTTACTCCTTTGACATCATCCATTTTCAGCACAGATTCGTCGTCATGGAGATTGTTGTAGAAATGTTTCTTCATCAGAGAGGAGATTTCGGGTCTCATTCGGTGTTGATGCGATAGCGTGTTACAGGGCACGCCATTGTTGATCATTCTCTCAAACAGAGAGGTGTCCAGGTTGAACTGCCTCGCCAGGCGGTAGACAGTTGGGTTTGGTTTCAGCTGTTGGTGATCTCCGATGAGAATAAGATGTTGGCATGCTGCAGTCAAGGTGGTGATGATGTGAGCCTCAAGAACTTCAGCAGCCTCCTCCACCACTACGATACCGGGACGAAGACGCTGTAACACGGCACGGAACTTAGCTGCGCCCGTGGTCGTCATGCCGACTACGTTTGCTTTTTGGAGAATTTCAAGATCTTCTTGTATATGTACATCTTGCACCCTCTTTGCAATTTCCTCGTACCTCTTACGATGCTCGCCAAGTTTTGATTCGTGATCTTTGATGTATCTTTGAACCCATAATCTGTACAAACGCCACCGATCCCAAATCTTTAGAGTCCAGACGCGTTCAACACTACTGGCCTCCTCGTCGGTCATCACATCGGGCTTGCGGAGCTCCACATGTGGTAAAATTGTGTGATTTTTCCCACAGCGTTTAATGCTTTCCAGGGGGTATGCAGCATGTTCACTAAATGTTTCGTATTTGAGTTTTTGTCGGCGCTCTTCTCGTGTTTGTCGGCGGCCGTCAAAATCGTCAATTTGTCGATCGCACTGAATTCTGTAACCTTCATATTCTACGTTAATGCGTTCCATGCTTTCTTGCTGTTTCTGATTGGACGGTAGAGCCCAGTCTCGTTCATCTTCCACGTCCACAACGTTCAGCCAATGGAGTAACTTTTCTGCTTCCTCTTCCTGAGGTTCCCCTCTATGACGGCGTCGAGAAAGCGCAAAATATTCCCCTCTTGTCATGTACTCTTTCAGAGAATCGATATGTATTAAGGCTTTATTGGGTATATCCAGCTTTGCAAGACATATCTGAATTTCCTCATCTGTTTCACGCAGGGCCCTTTTGTCGCTCTGACTTACTTCTTTTCGTGGTCTTTCTTTTCTTAAGTGAGACAGATTCTTGCTTTCAAGTATCTCACTTGAGCTCCGACTCCCCACTCGGACCACATTCTGCTCTCTGAAGGCTATAATTCCTTCCAGAAACTGATCTAATGCATGGTTCGTGTAACACACAACCAGGATAGGAGAATAATCTAGGTTGATTTTCCAAGAGTCGTTCAGCAGAAGTAGCTGGATAATTTTCAGTCCAATGTAAGTCTTGCCTGTTCCAGGAGGGCCCTGAATAATCGCAAACTCCTTCGTCAAAGCTGTATGGAGGGCGGCCTTTTGAGATTCGTCGAGGTTTAGATCCTCTGCAAGCGGCCAACATTCGGGGAATAAAACCCGGATATGAGACAACTTCCAGCGTGAAAGGAAGTCCTTTTGAGCCAGCAGTGCAAAGTCATACGTTGTATCACTGAAGTCACGGAGGTATGCTGGTGGGTCGACACTAGAAGCAACATCGACGATATATCTCCTGAAGGAGAAACGCTTTTCGTTCATCTGCTGTAGCCCCTGAAGCACGTGGCGATAGGCCTCAAAGTAAGCAGCGGACTCTGCCATAATAAAGGGACCTTTGGTAGGAGCAATATCTGTTAGGAAGCAAACATCTACAAGACCCTGCGCTAAGTCTGCTGGCTTCCTGTTCTCCACCGTTGCACAGATAATGTGGTGGAATTTATCTTTAGTGAGACAGACGAAGGAACCATACAGGAGACGCTTACTCGCTTCCCAGCGCACGCGTTTCAGCGGTCTGACGTCGAAATTCAGAGTGTAGATAAAACCATTCTCCCCCATTGTTCTGTTTTGGACAACGACATTTTGGTAGATCCTGATGTCTTGAGGGCGTCCGGTGGTATCTGTCAGGAACTCGGTAACACCCTCCCTCAACGGCGCCACGAAGTCTTCTCTCAGCAGCCGGAATTGAACATCCAGGTAATGTTCAACACTCTCATATTTTCCCTTTATGATGTTCTTTCTGAGGAACGGCCTGGTGACCTGCCGAATCTCCCTGCTTTCTGGGAAGATTGGGATATCTCTGAAGTTGTTTGGTGGTGGCTTTTCCATGGCCCGCTGCTTGGCTGATCTCTGAGCCTGCTCCACTGAGTTGTAGCTGGTCTTCAACTGCTGTAATTGCACCAACAATCTGCCTGTTGTCACTACCCGCTCCAGGAGAATCAAAGGCCCTCCTACCTCTGAGTACCGTCCAGGTTTATGTTGCAAAAACAACTGGAGTAACTTGAGAATCAAGTCCAACTCTGCGTCAGCAGGGCCCGGTGCGTTATCATTATCAGTCTCGTCCGGCTCCTTAATTGGCAAAGTGACTAAATACCTAGTCAAATGCTTACTGAGGAAAGCTGACGATTCAATTAAACTGAGTATTGCATTCAATTCTTTAATGTGTGCAGACTCCCCTACGGGATCTAGGTAACATAAGCAAGACAGAACACGGACTGTTAGGAGTAATGTGTGTTCGCTGATATTATCTTGGTTTAATAAAGACTGGCAGTTTTCGCTTCTCTTAGCAAGCTGGGAGAGAACGTCATAGGGCTCATCTTCCAAGAAGCTTTGTAGTTCTTGGTCTGAGAAGGGGGCTGCCGTGGCCTTGCGCTGGACTGACTGATGTGGTACTTTGCTACCGGAAGGTGCAGATTTCTGACCGTGATTGTTGGCCGAAGACACGCTGCAAAAAGCATCACAATGAATCTGCAAGACTTATTTTTATACAAGCTATCCGACTAAACATCTCCAATTCCTTTTAAGAAGATGTTTAAGATTATTAAACTAGCCTAAAGTTATGTCAGCAACATCAAAATGCATGCTTTCATTCTATTCTTCAGAATAATGCCTCACCCACAGATTTGGTTAAGTTAGTAAATGTCGTGTCAATAAACCTAAAATTGAGTGTTCATTTAATCTTTGTGGCTGTTTTGAGGGGCAAATATCAATTTTGGGGGCTTTGTGCACGTTTTGTGAAGAAAAAGAGTTGAAATACGCCAAGAATCTTCCTTTATTTTGAAAAAAAATATTTAGTTGGAGCGACGCATGGCCGCCCTTTCGAAGGGACCTCTTTCAATTTTTGTGCTTTTGGATGCACGTATTTAGTGCCTCTTGGCATGGTGAAAAGAATAAAGTTAAACTCACTGAAATCTGGCCTTGAATGATGTCTTCATTCCGTTGGAAGACCTTGTTTTTTGACCCGAGCTCGACTTGTCTGTTCTCACGGTGTCATGACGATTCTGTTCTTGCGCTTTTGGCTTTCTTTGCTCGCCTACACGCGTCCCTCGGTTATCAGTTCGGCGTCTGGTTGTCGTGTCTAATCGAGTACTCGTTGTGTGCGATCTTCTCACACCGCCAGTATGTAAGGACTCCACATCTTCGTTTCCGTCTACATCTTCTAACAGGGACTGTGGTGTTTTAAATGCCCCGTAAGCCATGACTGATAACCTCAGACTCTGGTGATAATCTGGAGTTAAGTTAGGAAAGGAATTGTGTAATGAAATCAGAAAATCCGAATATTCCAATGAAGAACAGACTCCCTTCTCATGGTCATCCGGTGGACAAGACACTCTTTGTTTATTTATAGATGAAATGAGCCAGTTCAGTTTTTCAACAGCGCATGCCCAGTACGAGGCCATTCGGGAACAGCTGCGCGTGCTCACGGTAGTCTGTCATGGGTGCAGTCTACTAATTCAAGTGAGAATTTCTGGCCCGCTCATTAAAGTGCCCACCCATTTGGAGCTCGTTTGTCCCGCAAAATGGTGAGATTGTGTACATCCTTGCTAGGATCAACTCTCTGGTTCGTTGGGCTTCCATCTGAGAGCAGAATGGCAAAAAATGTGGTTGAAAAAGGTTCTTAGTACCTGAGAAAGTTGAGTGAACTTCACACTTGAAAAATGGCTGTAAGCAGACTTCCATAAAATCTCTTTTCGGGGTGATTTTGTTTTGTGGTAATACCGGTAACTAAAAATGTAATTGGTTAACCAACAAAAATTGAAAAGAAATGTGAAAAACTGGCACCAGACAATCACGAAATTTGTATTTCGAACCCTCGGGGATGTTCGGATGCATGTTGCACTGCACCCTGAGCAATGGGATGTTGGAATGCATTTTGTACTGCACCCTGAGCAATGGGGTGTTGGAATGCACGTTGTAATGCACCCTGAGCAATGGGATGTTGGAATGCACGTTGTACTGCACCCTGAGCAGTGGGAAGTTGGAATGCACGTTGTACTGCACCCTGAGCAATGGGGTGTTGGAATGCACATTGTACTGCACCCTGAGCAATGGGATGTTGGAATGCACGTTGTACTGCACC